ACGCAAGCTGCAGGCAGCCGAACGCAACTACCCGATCCACGACAAGGAGATGCTCGCCATCATCCACGCGTTTAAATTATGGCGATGCTACCTGGTGGGCGCCGACGTCACTGTTCGCACAGACCACAAGTCCCTACAGTACCTGCGAGCCCAACCCAAACTCAACCCACGACAGATTCGGTGGCTGGACTACATGGAGAGCCACTTCACCTACCGCATCACGTACAAAAAATGGGCGAATAACATCGCCGACGCCCTGACCCGACCGACAATACAATCCGCTGCAGTACTCATCACCCATTCGAACCCGTTACTTACCGGACTATTCACCCACGGCTACACTACGGACCCATTCTTCACGACTGGAAATCATCAGCAGGCCACGACGCAGAAAGGGGATTATTACCTAAAAGCTGGAACCGACCGGATTTGAGTTCCCGCTTATAGGCTGCTGCGTGAACTCCTTATCCAGGAGGTCCACGATTCGAACTTCTCCGGACACTTCGGGGTTGATAAAACCCAGAAATTACTGCACCGTCAATATTATTGGCCTGATTCCTCTAACGACGTGCAGCGATATGTGTCCTCATGCAGGGTGTGCCAAGCCATGAAATCGACACGTCAGCGGCCAGCTGGGCTGCTGCAACCCCTCGAGCCACCCGAACGACCGTGGCAGCAAGTGACAATGGATTTTGTCACGGGGATGCCAGCTGGGCCGTCCGGCAACGACGCTGTACTCGTCGTCGTCGATCGCTTCACGAAGATGGCGCATTTTGCCCCATGCCGAACGACAATCACAGCCGAAGAAACTGCGCGCCTCTTCATCTCAACGGTCGTGCGACTGCACGGCATCCCTTCGGCGATCGTCAGCGACCGTGACCCGAAGTTTACATCAAAATTCTGGAAGGAGACGTGGGCGCAGTACGGCACGAAACTACAATTCTCATCGGCTTATCACCCACACACGGACGGCCAGACCGAGCGGACCAATCAGACCATGGAGCAGCTGATCAGGACAAACTGCTTCGACCCTGCCCGCTGGGAAGAATCCCTTGCCATGTTGGAGTTCGCTTTCAACAACGCGCCGTCCAGCACGACTAATCACTCCCCGTTTTTCCTGAATTACGGGATGGACCCGACGGTTCCTACAGCGACTTCCCTCGACAACCCGGTCCCGAGATCACAAACTTTTGTGACGGAACTTCAGGAAGTCCGGGAAAAAGCCGCCGACGCAATTCGCAAGGCGAATATCACTTCCCGCAAAACACCGACCTTCTACGCCGGGTGTCAGAATATTATGCTCTAGCCTGTAGTGGGGTGCTCTATAGCGAGTACAACCCTTCTAGGGTTTGCTATTTGTATCCTCATTCTTGCTAGTGCAACTCCTTCTTCTTTGCCTAAACTGTTTCTTGCCTAGCTAGGGCTTTCCTAGCTATGGCGCCTTCTTCTACTGCTCATCTTCACATGGTATCAGAGGGATATGCTCCTGGCCTGTGGGCCCCACCTCACTGCTTCCGCTGCTACTGCTACTCCCTGTCCGCCGCGCGCCCCGTGGTGCGCGGCGTCGAAATTAGGGTTTTTCAGCCCGCTGTGCGCCCCGAGGCGCGCGGCGGTTTTCTGCCCGCCGTGCGCCCCGAGGCGCGCGGCGGTTTTCTGCCCGCCGTGCGCCCCGAGGCGCGCGACGGGTTTCTGCCCTGTCACTCGGCGCGTCGCCCCCAGGAGGCGCTACGACGGGCGACGGGGACCCGCGCGTCGCCCCTCGTCGCCCGTCGTGGCCTGCGCGCGGCCCGTACAGCCGGCGCGCGGCCCGTACGGGCTGCGCCAGGCCCGCGCGCGGCCCGTACGGACTGCGCCAGGCCCGCGCGCGGCTCGGGCCGCCTGCGCGCGGTTCGGGAGGCTGTGCCAGGCCCGTGGGCGGCCCGTTCTTCGCTGCCCCTGTCCTCCCCGCTGTCCCCCGTGCTTCTGAAGGCGCCCCACCCCTCCTTCTGCCTGTTCTCCTGGATTAGGGTTTGGGGGTGGGGGGTATGGGGGTGCAGCTTCTGTGTGCCGTTCCCTGCTCCTCCTCCTCCTCCGTCTCCCTGTGCTGCAGCTGCCGCTGAAGGGGGGTGGACATGTTGGAGCCGTCGGAGTGGTACTAAGGGGGGGTGAAGGGGGAGTGGAGCTAGGGGTGAAGCAGGGGGTGTGTGTCAGGGGGGGTGGTACTGTTTGGGGGAGGTTGAACGGAGGTTGCCGTCGTGTCGCCAGCAGCACCTGTAGTCCGGGGAGTTGCTCCGGTAGCCCAGTCGTAGCCACCTGTGCCAGTCGCCCGTGGGTCCGTTGCTCGTCTGCCGCTACTTTTAGCCGCGGGGCCAGTTACTCCAGTAGTCCGGAGCGCTGTTCCGGTAGCCGCTGTGCCAGTGTGCCTCCTGTTGCCCGTGTGTCTGCAGCTTCAGCCGTCGCCTCCTATCTCCTCTCCTCTCACTGTCCCTCCTCCTCCTCACTTGCCCGTTGTGACTACCACTAGCTTTGCTCATAATTGTGAACTTTAAACTATTGCTTCCTGAACTTGTGCTCAGAATGTGTGGTGACATTGTGATCCACCCTGAGCTTGTTCTGCTTTGCTTGCTCTGCTGATTACACCCCACTTTGGCTATGGGGGTGTGTCAGAATATTATGCTCTAGCCTGTAGTGGGGTGCTCTATAGCGAGTACAACCCTTCTAGGGTTTGCTATTTGTATCCTCATTCTTGCTAGTGCAACTCCTTCTTCTTTGCCTAAACTGTTTCTTGCCTAGCTAGGGCTTTCCTAGCTATGGCGCCTTCTTCTACTGCTCATCTTCACACCGGGAACTAGTCTTGACTACTGGGCAACTAGTGCTACTCGACACGAAGAACCTGCACCTGTCCGGCCCGTCGAAATTACGGCCACGATTTTGTGGGCCTTTCAAGATTATCAAGATGGTGACACCTGTCACCGTGAAGCTGCTGCTCCCCGACGACTGGCGAATCCATGACGCCTTCCACGTCAGCCTGCTTCGCAAGTTCGTGCCAGCCACGACCGACATCGCGCGGCAACAAGCTGCCCCAACCGCACGACCTGTCCCGGAGCCGACTCTCGACCCTTCGAAGATTCTGGCACATCGGGTTCGACTTGACGCAGCTGGTCGCCACGTGGATTTCCTGGTCCGTTGGACCGATCGCACCAGTGAGGACGACACGTGGGTGCACTCTGACTCGCTAACCGCCTCGTCACTTGTTGGTGATTACTTGGCGCGCAGGCGTGTTTCGGATATTGACCGCCTTTCTTAAAGGGGGGGGTCGTGTAAGGAATTTTCCCGAATTCCTTATCGGGGTTGACTGCTACGCGTAGAGCCCGATTTTCGGACTTTGCACGTTCGGCCGATTTCAACGCTGCCGAGGCTCCTCGCGTCGCCTTCGGCATTTCCCATCGCCAAACCTGCACCCCAACCTCGCTCGTCCGAGGTTTCCTCCTAGCTAGGCTAGCCCCTACATTAGTCTGTGCCTTCATTGTATTCTGAGATCAGTTAATCACAGTCTCGTTATTCGTTTACCTGCGCACTCTCTTTTACAACTCATAACAATGTAACAGTCATGTAACGGCGCTGCATTAACTCATAAATTGCACCATTATCTTGTTCAAAACTTCCAGTTTGTAGTTTACTGCATATCATGTCTCAATGAAGGCTTCTCAATGTTTCAATATTAGCGAGATAATCATTTGTTCACACGCGCACACACAAACAGAAAGAAGCAACGGATAATCCGCTAACCATGTAGGGTGGAAGCATATTCCTGTGGTGTGATATGCTGACAGTCTTTGGTTTGCTGGAAGGGATAATAACGAAAGAAGGAGCTGGTCGTAACGAGAGAAGCAGAGGGAATCTCCCATGTGTACCATTTCACTTGGAATTTCACACCAGCCAAACCAGCAGTCAGTTCCTTCCATTTCGCCTCGAAAGTACCGATTTTCTCGTCTGACAGCTATGGCGGCTTCACATCTGTGCATCTTTGCACCTCGCTCGCACCTTCTCCACACTATTTTCGAGCATCTCCCTACAGCGCGAGTGTCCTCGCGTCAAATTCGAGGAAATGGGTCAGTCTGGGAGAGAAAGTTGCGGCAGAGGTGTCAAGGGACGGTTCGTACTACTAGTAGAGTCCCACTTGCGGCCAGCCACTGCCCTGTCAGTAGTGGTCAATGGTCCTGCGCAGCCCACCTGCCGATTTTTGACAACAACAGCACGCGCGTCGTCGCGTCGAATTCGAGGAAATGGCCCACGGGAGCGGAAGTCGCGACCCGGGGTCAGCATGGGAGAGGAAGTCGTGGCAGCGGTTTCACGGGAGCGGTTGATACTGCTCTACAGAGTCCCACTTCCTGCCAGTCACTGCCCTGTCAGCAGTGGTCAATGGTCCAGCGCAGCTGAGTCCGTGACGTCACTCACCTGTCGCACCTGTCGCACATGTCGCACCGTGAAAGTAAGGGCGAGAAAGGGGATGGTTGGGGAGGCGGGGAAGGGGAAGAAGAGGGTGAAAGACGGGGGCTGACCCGTGACAGGCCAATCGGTCGGTCCGACAAGTCGCGACTCCCCTGACTGTCAACTCCCTTGAGGAACGTTCGCGGAAGAAAAATCTGCGAGCGTGCCGTGACAGGCCGAATCGCGGGGAGGCTTCTCCCGTGCTGCTGAGACAAACTCAGGCTGCTCCCAAGTACTTAAGTCGGAAGTGTGAGAGCAATTGAGCATCATCAATTGGACTACCGAGTCAGCTCAAACGCAAACTCAGACGTGGTTCGAGCAGCATTTTCAACCTTAGCGTCCTTTCTGGTGGGGGAACATTCTCAGACAATACGGTTGACAACATTAAGATTCTCCAACTTTCTGCGCGTCAGCTGCGCGTCAGTGCGGGTTTTTACGTTTCCATCGATCAGAAAATTCTCAGGTCAACTAGCGCTTACCCGTCGTCCGTCAACGACGTGTTTCCCGCGCCAGTCACCCGCGCTGGGACGATGTCGCCTTTGCCGAGCTTCTCCTCCCCGTCCCAGTCCCACGCAGCTTCCGCGGCGCCTCGAAAATCGTCTCAGGCCGCTGCTGCTGTTGCTGTGCCATCCTCTCTGATTCGCCTCACGGTCGTTGCTGCAGCGCTCCTCCTGCTCTTCACTGCCGCTGGTGAGTCTCTGTCTTTCTGAGTGAGTTGCGGTTTTTAATTCCACTCCCCTTTTCACTTCCACATCCCATTCGCGTCTCTCTGTTCGTCCATTTCCCCCTCCTCTCATCGTCCTCCTCTCATCGTCCTCCTCTGTTCCTCTGTTCTCATCATCTTGCAGAGGCACAGCCCACACCCGGCCAGCAGCCGTCCCCCATCCGCCCACCATCCTCTTCCTCCTCCCTCCCCTCCTCCTCCTCCTCCTCCTCTCCCGCCGCCTCCTCCTCTCCCTCCACCTCCCCTTCTTCACCCTCCACTTTCTCACCTTTCCAGCCTCTCCTCCTGGGCGGCCTTCAGGCTAACCTAACCCCCATCCTCCTCCCCACCTCCACCTCCCCCACTCCCACCACCACCACTCTCACTCCCACCACACCCACCTCCACCGCACTCAACCCCAATACAACCACTCTCACTCCTGGCTCCACTGCCGCTGGCGCTACTCCTGGTAGTCTCAGCGGTGCGTCGGCACTGCCAGGTGGCGGCGCGTCAGTGGTCACTTTGCTCGTGAATGCGGCCAATGGGACGCTCGGATTCGCCCTCCCCTGGGCGCAGGGCGCGGGTGAAAACGTGCAGGCGGGGATCTACACCGTGGGGGATATGCTCAATGGTGAGTGAGGTGCTGTGGGTTCAGTGCGGTGCTGCGAGGTGGTTTGTGGTGCTGTCCGTGCAGATATAATCTGGGGGGAGAACGTGCAGGCGGGGATCTACACAGTGGGGGATATGCTCAATGGTGAGTGAGTCAATGTGGGTGCAGTGTGGTACTGTGAGGTGCTGTCCATGCGATTTTGAATTGGGGAAGTACCCCCTTACTGTCCCCCCCTTTTTCGTCCACCTCTCATGAGCATCACGGTCAATTTCTCGTGAATACAATCATGCATACAACCACATGCTCACTGACTCTCTTTCGCTCTCTCCCCTCCTCGCCACCCGCTCTACCGCTCCTCCCCACACAGCATCGTCTCCTCGTCTCGTCCTCCCCCTCATGGGCATGGCGGTCAATTCTACCCCCGCTGTTTCTTCGGCCACACGTGCCACGTCAGCATCCTCCTCCTCCACTCCCCTTGATCCCTTAACTGCAGCAGCAGCAGGTGTGGCAGGTGCTCTGGCGGGACTAGGGACATCTGCTGCAGGTGTAACGGCAGGGCCAGGTGTAACAGCAGCGCCAGGAGTTTCTTCAGGTGGGATGGCAGGATCAGGTGGTGCGTCAGGTATCACAGCAGGCCCCCGAGCCGCTGCAGGAGCAACAGGAGCGGGCGAAGCAGCACCAGCAACAAGCACAGCACCAGTTACACAGGGGCCTCGCAGGGGCTTATCTGGCACCGTAGCAAACCCGGTAGCTGCAGCAGCAGGGGCAGCACAGGGGGCAGTGCAGGGAGCAGTGGGCGGAGCAGTGGGGGCAGTGCAGGGCGTGGTGCAGAGGGGTTCAGGGTGGTTGTGGGGAGCTGTGCCGGTGCCAGGAGCAGCGTTGGTGAATATCCTGAGGAATCCGGGCCAGTACCAGCTGCGGCTGTCCGTTGGGAATGGTGCTGATGCGGCCTCCTTTGCTGGTCGTCTCGTGGTGAGTGGAATGCAAAATCCCAGGTGATCTTTGCTAGAATGCAAATGCGAGTGTTAGACATTGGTGAACAGCAGCAGCGCTGGTGAATGTCCCGAGGGATCCGAGTTTTTGAGTCGACTCAAAAGTCACTTAGAATGCAGAATGCGAGTTTAGACATTGGTGAACAGCAGCAGCGCTGGTGAACGTCGTGAGGGATCCGAGTTGACTTTTGAGTCGACTCAAAAGTCACTTAGAAAGCAAAATGCGAGTGTTAGACATTGGTGAACAGCAGCAGCGCTGGTGAACGTCCCGAGGGATCCGAGTCTGTACCAGCTGCGGCTGTCCATTGGGGATGGTGCCGGCGTTTCCTCTTTCGCTGGCCGTCTCGTGGTGAGTATAGTGATTGTGAGAATGCAAAGTGCGGGAACCCCAAGTCAGCGCAAAGGAGAAGAGAAGCAGCGCGTGAATATCCTGAGGAACCCAAGTCAGTACCAGTTGCTGCTGTCGATTAAGAATGGTGCTGACGTTTCCTCTTTCGCTGGCCGTCTTGTGGTAAGTGAAAAGTATCTCTGTATTTTTGTCACTTTCTTGTTTTCTGCGAAACTTTTTTGTCAACACCTTGCTCTTCCAAAATGCTCTCTTTCAAGTCTCCCAATCCCTTTCCTTCCTTTTCCCCTCTCCCTCTCTTCTCCCCCCCCCCTACCCGGTCCCCTCTGTTCTCGTCTCGTCCTCCTTCCCTAGTCCGTACCTATTGATCTGGCTCGGAGCATCCCCTTCCTTGGATCGCTGATTCCTGAACCTCCTCGGTTTCCTTCCCAGCCCAGCCTCGGTAAGGGAATACTCTTTGTTTTGCGCTGTGGGTTCATTTTCTTGTTTGTTATATGTACTGTTCTTAATCCCATCTTTTTCTTTTCACCCTTCTCTACCCCTACCTTTTCATGCATCCCCAATCTTACCGGTAATCCATTTTCCCTTTCACCATATCCGAACTATGCCTGACCCAGGCATCCCCAACCCCCAGTCCCTCCTTTCAGGCATTCCTGACCCCCAGGCCCTCCTCTCCCTTGCGAATGCCATTCGTGAAAGCATCGCATCACTCCCGCAAGCTGCCTGTAAGATCCATTTGCCTACAATTTGCTGCTGTGCCATTTACCTTTTTGGTTGCTGCTTTTTATAGGTAACACATCTTTTACTTACACTAGTATTATTGATACTGTGCAGTGGGATCAATAAACGTTCCATGGCTCTCTGGCTTTGCCGATGCTCTCGCTGAAGCTGCAAGGGGGAATCCTGTGACCAATTTTCTTCCTTGAGTATGTTAATACTGTTGTTTATGTCTTATATGAACGAGCACTTGGCTGGGTGTCGCATGTACAGTCATTGGAACATTTGAGTGAACGCCTTCGCGAGCTATTTTTTGTAACCCCACTTCAAACTTCGTACACGACTACCTACCGACCAGGCCTGTCGAAGTTCCTGGGGCCCATACTTGGAGTCCCCAGCTCCTCCCTATCTGACCCTGTTTTGGCCGTAGCTGAGTGTTTTCGCGCCCTTAACGGTCACGGGCGCAGGCATAAGTGGAAACTTGATATCCGGGCTTGCATTTACACTATCTTAGCTAAGGGAAAGTTCGGCTGCTCCAAAGCTGACTTAGAGAAATCACAAACACGGGATTGGCTAGAAAACGCTAAGGGAAAAATCCCCTTGGCGCGCTCTCGTGCAACCTAAGGAGAAAGGGGGGGGGGGAGTGGGGGGGTCAGGCAGAATTTCTCGAGGGGGGGGGTCCCAGAACCGGAAATCAAAACTTTGTGGGTGGGGAAGGCCTGGTTGGAGCACTTAACGCATCCGGGGAAGGGTCGAACGAAGCACTTTGTGCAGTCGAGCTGGAGCGAAAGTAGCCCGGAATTTCAGGACATTAAGGGCATATGCCCGTCAATCGACAGGCCTGCTACCGACTCCCTATCTGTGAGGTAATGCCTGTCACACGTGGTGATCACCGACCATATGGGTATGGTGTGATTGGCTGTAAGATTCCACGGGATACCGAAAGATGAGGTTCTGAACGAGAGCTTCGAGGTGATAAGAACCACGTGTCAATACCTGAAATGCTGGGACCTTTGGCTTTTCAGGGGGTTGTTTTCACCCACTTCCTCCACTCATTGCGACTGCTTATCACAACTCCAATAAGGTTTGGTGCAGATTGCCGCACCTGTTGACTTTTCGACCTTTCGGAAGTCGTGCCATGTGGGCTGCGGCGCAATCGAAAACAAGCCCCACAGCCGCCACACGTTGGAAGTGGTCCACAACTCACCAGCGCCGAGGCTAAGGCATACCTACCAATCACGTCCCTTTTTGCAAGATTTGCAACAAATAACAGAGCCCGACGAAGTAGATGTCGAGTGAGCTTCGTTCAGCCAACGACGACGACCATTGCTTTTGTAGGCCTCACCCTTCTCCAGCCACGCAGTGATTACCGCGCAGCGCAATGTTGTTACAACGGCCCGCGTCTCGAAAGCGCCTATCGATTGGTCAATTTCTCGAAGGGCAGCATCATGGGCAACTGAAAGGAAGAAAGAGATGGGAAGCGAGGAGGAGAACCGAGGGACAGGAAACGCATGGCTGGACACAGACACTAATGAAGAAAAATTGTTTCGTGGAGTACAAAGATCGGTATAGTACGGTCGAGGACGCGCTACAACGTATTCGCACGGTACACTACGGTGCATTGACTTCAAGAAGCCATGCCAACCCCCACCACCCTACTCAATGAGGAGTGAGCATTCTGCGAACATATCCAGCAGTTGCGCTACAGCAAAAACCATGGAAACTCCTGTCCGTTTTCTTGGAGAATAATAGTTTTGTCCGTAGGTGCTCGGTTTATGAAGCCTTAGCTTGTGGATGAAGCGGAGTGGAAGGTCAGTTAGTACGTACGCCCGAAAAGCGGAGTATAGCTGTGAACTTCACCTTTCCAGCTTGAAATTCAGCTTTCTTAATTTACCAATTATGGCTTCTCCTACACAAGCACCGCACCTCACAACAACGACGGACAGTGGCAGCGCACTCACCTCCCGAGCAAACGCGTCGACCTTGGGAATACCGACAGGATCCCCTTCGACGACAACCGCTTTCTCTCCGCTCACTTTCGTCGCGGCCGTCGCTGCATGCATCTTCGTCACCGCCGTCATCTCGCTCCTCGTTTACCTCATGCGACGCATGAAATGCCATGAGCCAATCGGCGGCGACCTTCCGAGTCCACGGGCGCCGCACCGCGTGTGGGTTCGCATCGGCGGTGGTAACAGCAACTCGACAAAATCTGTCGGCCTCGACGCGTCGCTGATTCGCTCGTTCCCAGTGATGATTTTCAGCTCGGAAAAAGCCAAGTTTTCCGCGGCGGGACTCACAGAAAAGCTCGTGTCGCGGCAATCGCAAGATCTGCACGCCGCGGCCGACCAGGCCAGGAGAAGTGGAGATTCTACCGATCACGGCGTGATTGTAGCGTCTCAGCTCAAAGCTCCTGATGCCGCCTCAGAATTCACCAGACTGGCTGCTGAGGCCGACAAATGTGCCGCCAATTCCGCCGCACATCGCGTTCTAGATCACGTGGCTGTTACTCTGGACGAGGAAAACGCGTGTTTTCGCGAGTGCGCGGTGTGCTTGGGTGACTATGACGAAGGGGAACGGATCAAGTTGCTTCCCCCTTGTGGTCACCGCTTTCACGCGGATTGCATCGACCTGTGGCTGTCGTCGAAAAGCACGTGCCCGATCTGTCGCAAAGACCTTCGTCCGGTTATGCTAACAGCCGGCGAAACGTGCGAAAAGGGCTCGCGAACCCCGCGAAGAGTGAGCGAATCTGCCGAGGCTGGAGAGCGAATCGTCACGATCGTCTTGCGCGAAGAGAGCGGGGTTGTTCGTGAGGGTGGTAACGATGGGTCGCCAGCTCAATTAGAAGCTGTGATTTTGCGAAGAGACGGCGACATTGGCGTTGATGTAACCCCGGTCATGGCAGCTGTCGCATAGCCATGCTGAGCATCTGCCAGTTAGGGTCGGGGTTCGTGGTTACTAGTGGTAGTTTTTTTAGAACGTTCGTCCTCGAGCTTCGCGCTCTGGCTGTCGACCACTGATTTAGTCGTCGACGATTTTTCGACGCGTACGAATTCTCGAAGCGCGTGGAGCCCAGGAATAAGTGCTGGATGGTAGTGCAGTAGTACTTTATCTCTCAGCTTCAACCCTCGTTGGTAGGGCTCTCAGATTTTTAGGAGACTCGCGGAGAGCTGAATTTAGCTCTTCGCTCATGGGTTGATGAGATGACATGGGGGGGTGTGTTGTGTTCCAACCAATTTTCCCCACCACCCCCCACAATTTTGACTCGAGTGTTTGTACATGTGTGGCATCAACGATATCAAGATTTTGTGGGCTGAGTTTGGAGGGATACATGTAGGTTGGGGTGGGCGGGACGAGGTGGGCAAGAGTGAGCATGGAGAAGCGAGTATCCACAGAAGTGAGGGTTGTTACTGTGTGGTGGGACATGGACGGAGAGGGGAGGGAGGGAAGCAAACAGGGGAGGAGATTATAACTGAAAGGAGGGACGCAAGCACAGAGGGAAAGGGGGCGGCTGTTCAGTGGCCACTACACTAGGCGCTCCAAATGGGAACAGGGAGTAGTGTAAGAGTTTTAGTGTGCTGCAGGATCATTACCACACCTCATCCTCCTCAAGTTTCCATATTCTTGAGACACAGTATACAGTGGAACTATCGTAGCTAAGCCGAGGTTGTTTGCAGACATTGCATGAGATTTGATAATTTGACAGATACCGTAGGTACAGACTAGAGAATGGGTGAGTGTTTTTTGCAGACATTGCCGTCGTGCACGCACCTGTTGCGATCAGAAGTTGATCGTAGCCAGGATCACCTCAGGAAGGTTCGCGGGGTCTAGTCTAGTGGTGGTGGGCCCTTGACCTCAATAGCAGAGTGAATGTAAATGCTTGAGATGATAAAAACATGCAGTACAAGGAATATAAATAAGAGTACAGGGGAATACGAAACGACCTAGCTAGCCATGTACTCTAAGGGGTACATTCCCTTATTGCAGCGAAATCCAACCGTGCGACTCCGGGTGGTTACGGAACTGTTCGGGCAGAATCCTTGCCACTGCTGCTGCCTGATGCTGTCTGCCCGACGGTCCAGATGCTCCTCGTAACCGTCTGTCCCTTCGCATTACTTCTGCTTTTTCGTCTTCACTCTCGATACTGCGTGCTTCGGCTTTGCTACGGTGAGGAGTGATCAATAGTGTTCTCACTAACCACTATTCGTAACACCCCCCTTCACTCCTGACCGTAGCGAGCATTGACCCGCTTGACTACCCCGCTGAGTTCGGAGCAGTGCTGGTACTGCTGGCGTGGCAGTTTCTTCGTGAGGAAGTCTGCTGCCATGTCACCTGTTGGGCAGTATGTCAGGTCAACCTTGCCCTTGTCAACTTCGTCCTTGACGAAGAAGTACCGCAATGCGATGTGCTTGGTGCGGTTGACGAAGCCAGGTTTGTTCGCGATCCTGATCGCGCTCTGGTTGTCGCAGTGCAGGCGGAAGTTCGCTGAGGCTGGAATTTTCGCCTCCTGCAGCAGCTCCTGAAGGTAGAGACCTTCGCGAACAGCTGCTGTTGCTGCGATGAATTCTGCTTCCGCTGATGACAGGGCAACCAACTCCTGCTTCTGAGAGTTCCAGGAGATGGGGCCGCTGGGTTCGAGGCGGAAGAGGAACCCTGTTCTGGACCGTCGATTGTCAGGATCAGCGGCGTGATCGGCGTCCACGTAACCCACGAGGCTGAAGGATGTGGTTGGGATGGTGGAGTAGCTGAGCCCGACATTGGGCATGGAGATGAAGAATTGAAGAGCTCGCTGGAGATCTGAGAGATTCTCAGCCGTTGGTTTGCGTGAGTACTGAGCCAACTGGCTTGCGATGTAGGAGAGGTCAGGCCTGCAGGTAACGGATGCGAAGAGCAAGCACCCCAACTGCTGCTGGTAAGTGTGAAGCCCAGCAGGGGACAGGGCTTTGTCGTCAGGCTTGTAGTTGGGTCCTGGAGTGCGGTAAGGGGTGGAGAGTGGTGCAGGTGCAATGTTGAAACGCTTGCTAAGCTCCTCCGCATACTTTGCTGCTGAGAGATGAATGGCTTCCGGAGCGTAAGTGATGTTGAGCCCGAGGAACTGCTTCACGTCGTGGCTGCAGGTGATGTCGACGCGCCCTGCGAGACTTTTCTCGAATTGCTCCAGCAGTTCGTTGCTTGAGCCTGTGTAAAGGAGGTCGTCGACGTAGACCGTGAGTAGGATGTATTCGCCGCGGAAATCGCGGCGATACATCCCAGGATCGTGAGGCAGCTGCTTGAATCCGATTTCAAGCAGTATGTTGTGCAGGTACTGCTGCCAGAGCCTTGGTGCCTGTTTGATGCCGTAGAGAGACTTGCGCAGCTGACAGACGCGTGGATCCCCGTCACCGTATGTGTGTGGCTGCTCCACGTAGATCACGGCGTCCACTAGTGCGTACAGGAATGCATTCTTCACATCGATCTGCCGAAGTGGTAGGTGACGTGCGGCTGCGATGGCGAGCAGAATTCTGACGGACGTGTGACGGCTGACCGGTGCAAATGTCTGGTCGAAATCAATCCCGTGCCTCTGATCGTAGCCGCGCACCACCCAGCGCGCCTTAAATCGCTCGATCGTTCCGTCAGCTCTTGTCTTCACGCGGAAGACCCATTTGCCGGAGAGGATCCTTCTGCCCTTCACTGCTGCACGGTCGACGAGCACCCAAGTGTCGCGTGACTCAAGCGCCCGAATCTCCGCGTCCATTGCTTCGCGCCACTCCTTGCTGTGAGGGCCTGTGAGAGCCTGCCGTGGGTTTTTAGGCTCGATGATGCGCGGAGCAGGGGAGACGGCAGCGTGCAGTCCCAGGAGTTGAAGACCAGTGATGGTGCTGTCGTGGCGATGTTGGGTGACGACTTCCTGCACGTCGTCATCGTCGCTTTCTGGTTCAGGCGGTGCTCGTGATGCTGTGTCTCCGCCGCTTCCTCCTGCTGCCTCTCCTCCCGCTGTGCCTCCTGTTGCGCCCGCTCCTCCTTCTCCTGAATCGTCGTCGTCGTCGTCGTCGTCGCGGCGATCGCCCCTTGTGAATTCTCCTCTGGGATCTTGCTCCAGGATCGCCGCTGCAGCTTCGTCCTCAGGTGAAGCGTAGCTGTGGCCTTCGTTGGCGTAGACGCGGTTTGCGTTCGTCTGCTCGTCCTCACGGAATTGCTGCAGAAACAGCCGTTCGTAGAAGATAACGTCGCGCGCATTTTTGATTTTCTGGCTTAGGAGATCCAAGATGATCCATGCCTTGTGTTCGTGACTGATGCCGAGGTGGATTCCCCAGCGCGCGCGGCTCTTGAACTTCCCGATGGTTGACGTTGGCGGTCGATATTGTACCATGCACCCCCAGACACGGAGCATGGAGGTGTCTCCCTTTCTTCCTGTCCATTTCACATGCGCTGAGGAGTTGCCGGTGATTGCGGTGGTTGACAGCAAGTTGTGCACCCGCACGGCGTGGTGCATCGCGTAGGTCCAGTAGATCGGCGGGAGTTTCGCCTGCCGCATTAGCGCCCGCACCTTCGTCATGAGGGTGCGATTCGTGCGTTCTGCTACGCCCTGCTGCTGATGCGCGTAGGGGAGAGAGATGTGATGCTCGATCCCCTTTTGCGCGAGTAAATCCTGCAGCTCCTTGCTCCTGAACTCAGCTGCGCCGTCGGACTGCCAGATCTTCAATTTCTCCCCAGATTGCCGCTGCGCGTGCGCCAGCCACAGGCAGAAAGCTTCGTAGGCTCTGCTGCGTGCTTCCACGTTTACGACCCATACGTGGCGTGTTCCGGCGTCGATGAAGGTGAGTGTGTAGAGCTCGTCGTTGATGCCGCAGTAAACCTTCTCCAGCTTGGCGTAGCGGTTGGCTCCTGGGTCGAGTAGGGGGAAGGGCTGGTGACTCAGCGCTGCTTCGGGGCAGACGGTGCATCTGCGCGGGTGAGTTCCTCCTGTCACTTCGGAGCCATCAGGACGCAGTAGCGCGCCAGGTGCGAAGACGCCGGCATCGATGCAGTTCTTCAGAGTCGTGCGCGAAGGGTGACCTAAGCGCTGATGCCAGATGGCATCGTCGGCGCGGAATCCGGAGGTGCGCATGTAGCGCGCAAGTGCAGCTGCGGGGTCTTCGTCAGGTGCAGATGCAGGTGTGGGAGCTGCTTCCTCATTCTCTTCTTCTTCCTCGTTCGCCGTCGTTAGCATGAGGGCGAGAAACTCACTGTCTACGAGGTGGGCAAGAGTGAGCATGGAGAAGCGAGTATCCACAGAAGTGAGGGTTGTTACTGTGTGGTGGGACATGGACGGAGAGGGGAGGGAGGGAAGCAAACAGGGGAGGAGATTATAACTGAAAGGAGGGACGCAAGCACAGAGGGAAAGGGGGCGGCTGTTCAGTGGCCACTACACTAGGCGCTCCAAATGGGAACAGGGAGTAGTGTAAGAGTTTTAGTGTGCTGCAGGATCATTACCACACCTCATCCTCCTCAAGTTTCCATATTCTTGAGACACAGTATACAGTGGAACTATCGTAGCTAAGCCGAGGTTGTTTGCAGACATTGCATGAGATTTGATAATTTGACAGATACCGTAGGTACAGACTAGAGAATGGGTGAGTGTTTTTTGCCGTCGTGCACGCACCCATGCTATCAAAAGCTGCGCTACAAGCACAACCATCTTTCAGAATTACACGCTACGGTAACTTGTTCAAGATCACACCAGCTTTTGCAAGCAAAATATGCTGTGGGCATCCCAGTCAGGGGCCCATCAAAGAGCGCCTAATCCTAAGCAGCAACGGCAGTGACCATACCAGGGAGGATTTGCGATAGGCACTGCTGCAATTATGACCATAAATCAGCCTAAGTAATTGCGCTGGTAATGCTCCACCCTCGTCCAAAATCACTAGGTGCACAAATCTCCTCACTGCCCACTGTACCATCAACAGCAGGTGCACGTCCAGCATTTAAAGCCAGCAGCTAAAATAGTGACCCCAGGACCAGCTTGAAAGAGTGCTAAAATTTTGGGGGCAAACTGACAAGTATGCACTGTTTCAAAGAGAGCGGTTATACAAATCGAGCACATCTGATTGGTTCCCGCCAACCAAAAAAATAACCAACCCAGCACGTCAGGTGTCGCATCTCATTTTTTTAAGCCGCGCAACCATAGCACTGCGATCGTTTTGTCACGTCCAAGCGATCTGGGGCCAGCTTTCCTTTCAACTAGGGATTGGGTGAACTACTACTTGTTCCGCTCATTTGCACCTGCTCCTTAGTTATGCGTAGCTTCTGTAGCCATATAACTCTGCAATTAGGTCGCTGTTACCGCAATTTAGACGCGTAGTAACTAGAGGGCATGGTTGCGTACTACTTCTGCCGTTTCGATCGTCCTCTCCCCCCCCTCCCATCCCATCTCGCTCATCCTCCCGTTGTGATATCAGTCGCGCCGTCCGTCCCGTCGCATCGCGATCATGTCGTCCATTCCGTAGCCCTCCCGTTTATCTCCCCTCGCTACCCATCGCCTCGGTTATCTCCTCTCGCTGCCCGCTGCCTCGTTTATCGTGGCGCCGTTCCCTCGCCTTCGATGTCCCCTTTCCTTCCCGTCGCCTCACGATCTCCCCTCTCTCCCCTCGCCTTCGATGTCCCCGTTCCTTCCCGTCGCCTCACGATCTCCCCTCTCTCCCCTCGCCTTCGATGTCCCCGTTCCTCCCGTCGCCTCACGATCTCCCCTCTCTCCCCTCGCCTTCGATGTCCCCGTTCCTTCCCGTCGCCTCACGATCTCCCCTCTCTCCCCTCGCCTTCGATGTCCCCGTTCCTTCCCGTCGCCTCACGATCTCCCCTCTCTCCCCTCGCCTTCGATGTCCCCGTTCCTTCCCGTCGCCTCACGATCTCCCCTCTCTCCCCTCGCCTTCGATGTCCCCGTTCCTTCCCGTCGCCTCACGATCTCCCCTCTCTCCCCTTGCCTTCGATGCCCCCCCTTCCTTCCCGTCGCCCCTCCATGCCCGTCGTCTAAGTGTTCGTGATCCCTTTCCCTTCGCCTCTGCGCTCTCCCTCCCGTCGCCCTTGCAATATCCCTTCCCATCCCGTCGCCCTTGCAATCTCCCTTCCTGTCCCGTCGCCCTTGCAATCTCCCTTCCCATCCCGTCGCCCTTGCGATCCCCCTTCCCATCCCGTCGCCCTTGCAATCTCCCGTCCCATCCCGTCGCCCTTGCAATCTCCCTTCTTTCTATTCATTCGCATCACCTCGTGCTTTTTTCTCCACTACTCCCCGTTATCGCACCTCTCCCAGGCCCCAAGTCCAAGGCAGCACATTGCTCAGAGATCTACTAGCCCTCATCACGTTCGCAAACTTCCACTCTCATCACGTACATGTGTGTTTTTGCTTGGGATTTAGCGTGAGATGTTGCTACATGCGAATTTGGTGAAGTATTGGCTCAAGTGAATGCTGGAGTGCACGTCGCACAGCTTTGCGCCAAATTCGCACATGTACATGTGGGAGAATCAGGCTGCCAATCACAATTGAGAAAGAACTTTCGTTCCTGCTCCACTACGAAACCAGTCTGACGGTCGAAAAAACAAAATCACGGCACTTCCAACTTCCCAAAACGATACAAAGTCTTCAAGTGGACCCAACTAGAAGGGGGGGGTCACTATTTTAGCTGCGGGCTATAAGGCGCGGCGCCTCAGTAGCGGCCAATGCCCCATCAACAGCAGCTGCACGTCCAGCATCAGCAACTCACATATCAGTCCCCTCGCAACACCCGACCCGATACAACTGCCGATACAACAACCTATGCAGCAGCCTATGCAGCAGCCTATGCAGCAGCCTATGCAGCAGCCACAGCCCCTGTGCTTCCATGCAGCTTCTTCAAGCTCTCCTCATGCAGAAACCTCCGCACCGCTCTCTGCACCTTCAGAAGCACCTTATCAAGCTCCTCCATATTCACCATCGTCACCGAGTGGTCCCTCGCACAGAGAAAACACCCCCTCACTTCCCGACACTGCTTCTCCTCGAGATTCTCCCACCCGCCCTTAGCTAAGCAATTGTCGGTGTAGGAGGAAGCTTCCGGGTGCGTGTTCTCCCACGTGAAGTAGTTTAGTCCGTTGCGCAGGGCGAGGTTCTTGTATGCATCAGAGTGGAATTTGAGGGGGAAGAGCTCGAGGACAGAACTTCCGGGAGGGAGGAAGATGAGGTTGCTGAGGGAGGCGCCATGCATGCTGATGAACAGCGCCGTGTGCTGCAACAGGTTGGGGGGAAAGCGCGAGGGAAAGGGGAGTGGGGCAAAGAAGTGAGGGTGTGGGGCAGATGAGGTTGCTGAAGGAGGTCAAACAGGGTTCTTGTATGCATGGGAGTGGAATTTAAAGGTGAAGAGCTCGAGATCGGTGCTGCCTGGGGGGAGAAAGATGAGGTTGCTGAGGGAGGCGCCATGCATGCTGATGAACAGCGCCGTGTGCTGCAAAAGGAAGGGGGGGGTGGGGTTGTGGACGAACGGGGGAGGGGGGAGGGGGAAGGGGGGGAAGGCGGTGGGGGGAAGTCAGGCGGGAAGGACAGGAAGGGACTTTCCGGGTGAGTGTTCTCCCACATGAAGTAGTTGATTCCGGTGCGCAGGGCGAGGTTCTTGTATGCATCGGAGTGGAACTTAAAGGGGAAAGGCTCGAGAATGGTGCTGCCTGGGGGGAGGAAGATGAGGTTGCTGAGGGAGGCGCCATGCATGCTGATGAATAGCGCCGTGTGCTGCAACAGGTTGGGGGGAAAGCGCGAGGGAAAGGGGAGTGGGGCAAAGAAGTGAGGGTGTGGGGCAGATGAGGTTGCTGAGGGAGGCGCCATGCATGCTGATGAACAGTGCTGTGTGCTGCAAAAGGGGGGGAGGGGGGAGGACGGGGGGAATGGGTGGGCGTGAGTGGGGGAAAAAGGGACGGAAATGGCTCGACTCAACCATGGTCTTGAGAGGGCTAGGCTCTTGCTATGCGGGTCCCTGTGAGGCAGGTCGAGAGAGGTTCTTGTATGCATCGGAGTGGAACTTGAAGGGGAAGAGCTCGAGGACAGAACTTCCGGGAGGGAGGAAGATGAGGTTGCTGAGGGAGGCGCCATGCATGCTGATGAATAGCGCCGTGTGCTGCAACAGGTTGGGGGGGAAGCGCGAGGGAAAGGGGAGTGGGGCAAAGAAGTGAGGGTGTGGGGCAGATGAGGTTGCTGAAGGAGGTCAAACAGGGTTCTTGTATGCATGGGAGTGGAATTTAAAGGTGAAGAGCTCGAGATCGGTGCTGCCTGGGGGGAGGAAGATGAGGTTGCTGAGGGAGGCGCCATGCATGCTGATGAACAGCGCCGTGTGCTGTGAGGGGGAATGGGGGGGATGGGGGAAAGAAGTGAGGGATGCGCGGGGGGGGGGATGAGGTTGGTGACGGAGGCGCCATGCATGCTGATGAACAGTGCTGTGTGCTGTGAGGGGGAGGGGGGGCGTGGAGAAGTGGGAGTGAATACTTAGGCACCCCAACGATGAGGTTAGTGACGGAGGCGCCATGCATGCTGATGAACAGCGCCGTGTGCTGCAGGGGAGGTGAAGGGAGGAGGAGGGACGGAAGTACACGGGATGGAGGTGTGAGTTCCCACAAGGCGTGGGAGTGGAATTTGAGGGGGAAGAGCTCGAGAATGGTGCTGCCTGGGGGGAGGCGCCTGAGAGCCCACCTGAAACAGAGCCATCTGCTCGAGCAGGGGCGAGTCGGCAAGGTGGTACTGGTTGGTGACGTGGCGGGGAAAGAGGCCCTTCACATGCCACGCCTCCACTCTCAACCCCACCTTGCCCACCTGAAACAGTGACACTAACATCTGGAAGAGCACCTGATACAGCAGCCCCTTCCGTCTCACCTGAACGAGCAGAACACCTGAAAAAACACCTGAAACAGCACCCACCTGAAACAGAGCCATCTGCTCGAGCAGGGGCGAGTCGGCAAGGTGGTACTGGTTGGTGACGTGGCGGGGAAAGAGGTCCTTCACATGCCACGCCACCTCCCCCATGTTGCTCACTGTGCGCTGCTCCTCCCTCTCCACCACCGTCACTTCCAGCTTCCCCCCCTGACGCAGTGACCGTCCTACCTGAAACAGCACCCCTCTACCTGAAGCACCGCCTGATATAGCAGCAGAATCCCACCTGAAAGCACAGAAAACCAGGGAAAAAGCACCTGAAAAGGCACCTGGGAGCCCACCTGAAACAGAGCCATCTGCTCGAGCAGGGGCGAGTCGGCAAGGTGGTACTGGTTGGTGACGTGGCGGGGAAAGAGGTCCTTCACATGCCACGCCACCTCCCCCATGTTGCTCACTGTGCGCTGCTCCTCCCTCTCCACCACCGTCACCTCCAGCTTCCTCTCAAAGTCGTACCCCCTTAAAGCCGCGTTCAAAACCTCGTCTCCCTGCCGGATCACCACGCGTGCGAGCGCGTGCGTTCTCTCTCGCTGAATCACCTCCTCCCGAAACCTCTTCTCGCTCTCCTCCCGGCTCTCCTTGGTTTTACTTGCCGACTCGGCTTCGGCTCTCCGTTGGTTCTCCTGCTCCTCCTCTCCCATCTCCATCTCCTCCTCCATCTCAAAATCCCCAGTACCGTCCCCAACCACTCCGTTCTCCTCTCTCCGCTGAAATACCTTCGCAGCCACCTCTGCTAGCCCCCAAGCGTCCTCTCTAAACCCCTGTGTGGACGAGTTCAAATGCCGAGCATTCAACACAAAAGCCACCTGGTCGAAGCACACGGGCCGGCCCTCCCTGTGCCCGGCTAAAACCTCCGACGCCGGCCCGAAAAGCATCTGAGCGATCCCAGCCGTCCATTTGCTCCTGATCGTCTTCTCACTGGGAAAGAACAGCGAGAGCTCCGCTCCCTCCTTCTCCCTCCTCCGCCACCGCTGCCGCCTCCTAGACCTCTCCCTCTCACTCCATTTCTCCCCCAATGCTCTCGGCCCTCCTACCTTAGCATCCCCCCACTCTGCCTCCTCATCCTCCCCCAACGGCCCCTCCCTTGGAAAATGCCGAGAGACCTCCCACATGGCGACAGCTGATTCGCCGAAATGCCCGATGTGCGTGTCGTACCTACCGACAATCCCCACCCGTCGCCGGAAATCGTTCGGGTTGTTCTTCCGCAACTTTTTCCGGGCAGTCGAGCTGCTCTCCGCAATGAACTGCCCGAGCGCGGGGTGCCCTAAAAATCTCCCGTACGTTTTATTCTGCCGGAGCTTCAGAATAGGGAGATCATGGGAATCGGAGAAAAGGGGCGTAGTATCCAGGTCTTTCCCTGGCTTGAAGAGAGAGCACATGCTCCTGCCTAGGTCTAGCTTAGACAGGTCACGGTAGTGGCCTGTGTTCATGAACCCTCCTGCTCCCGCTTTGCCCTCTTTGAGCCCAGCGAAACGGCTGAACCAGCCCCCTCCGCTGCTGCTTCCTTCTCCTGCTGCTCTTCCTAGCAGCCTCCTCCTCCTCTGCCTACTTACACCTTGATCTGAACCCTCACTCAGCAACTCGCCTGTATGTAGCCCTTCTCCCTGCCCTTCCTCCACCCCTTCCCCTTCCTCCTCCCATTCCCCCACCTTCTGCTTCGCCTGCTCCTCCTGCACTTCCTGCGAATCAGGCGAATACGACCCCACTAGCTCAGACTCTCCTTCACCAACCTCCTCACTGCTCAACAACCTCCTCCTGCTGCTTCCCTTCGTTGTTCCCCTCGTTTTCTTCCAGTCAGGCGAGTACGGACCCACTAGCTCCGAGCTATTCTCGCTCATAGCCTCCCTCACGAACCACACACCTGTGTACGCGTTATGGTAGGCCCCTTTACCCGCCATAAACAGGTAGCACAGGTCCTGTACCAGTAACACGCATGAGTAGTCGTGTTTTTGCTGTAACAGGTACGCGCCGTGCACGCGCGGTAACGGGGTTACGTGCCACTTGGCGCTCATCCGTTCGTAGAAGGGCTTGGGGGTTCGGGTTTTCGGGCCTGTCTGTTGCTGCTGGGCGGCAACGGTTTGCTTCTCCTGGGCGGCAGTCTTTTGCTTCTGGGCGGCAGCTTCCTGGGCGGCAGCCTCCTTCTGTTGGGCGGCAGCCTTTTGTTGCTGAGCGGCAGCTTGTTTCTGCTGGATGGCAGCTTCCTGGGCGGCGGCTTCCTTCTGCTGGACGGCTGCCTCCCTCTGTTGGGCGGCAGCCTTTTGCTGCTGGGCGGCAGCTTGTCTCTGCTGGGCGGCAGCTTCCTGGGCGGCAGCCTCCTTCTGCCGGGCGGCTGCTTCCTTCTGCCGGGCGGCAGCTTCCTTCTGCCGGGCGGCTGCTTCCCTCTGCTGCTGTTGAGAACGTGCCTGTTTCTCTTGGGCGGCAGTCTGCTTCGCAGGAGTGATGATGGGAGGAGGAGGAGGGGAGGAAGGAGGGGGGAGTGCTGGAGATGTGGAGAAGGGTTGCACGGGGAGTGGTGAGGGAGAAGAGGGGGGGATATGGTCCTGGTGGACGAGGGTAAGATGGGAAGGTGAAGAGGTGTGGGAAGCGGTGGAGGCAGTATCATCACTGTCGCTGCTGCTGCCGCTGCTGCTGTCGCTCCTCCTGTCATTACTGTTGTCTACGCCGCCGCTTCTCCTGCTGCTGCTCGTGCTTCTGTCACCAGTACTGCTACTGTCAAACATACCACTGCTTGAAGCTTCTCCCTCTTGACCAGCCTCAACAGCACGCGAATCAGAAATAGCACCCGCATCAGCAGCACCGCCAGCAGCACCATCAGCAGCAGCATTAGCATAAGCACCAGTACGAGCACCCGAGTTTTCAGCAATTGCAGAATCTGCTGCAGTGTCACCAGCATGACCAGTGCGTGCATCAGTGCCGGTGGTGGCGGTGGAAACCACTGCCATGGTGCCAGGGGTGCTAGAAGGAACCACTGTGGGTGTGCTTGTAGTGCTGGTGGAAGTGACAGTAACGGGTGTGAGAGTGACAGTACCGGTTGTGGGTGTGACAGTAACGACTGTGGGGATGTTGCTACCAGTGTTCCTGGGAGTGCTACTGGCAATGGAGGAAGGTAGGGTGATGGCTTTGGGAGTGCTGCTGCTAGTGGCAGCAGCAGAAGCAGCATTCCCGTTGCTTTCCAGAACTGTGGGGGTGCCCATAGGTGTGGTAACAGCAGGCGTGGTTACAATCGTCGGTGTGGTGACAGCAGGTGTGGTTACAAACGTGGGTGTAGTGAGAGCAGATGTGGTCACAACAGGTGTGGCAACAGTACGTGTGGCAACAGTACGTTTGGTAACAGCAGGTGAGGGGAGAACGGCTTTTGTAACAACAGGTTTCGGTGTGGTGACGGCTCGGTTTGAGTGAAAGGGGGAGGGGGTGACACGAGAGTGGGAGGAGGCACTAGAGGAGGTGGGGGAGACGCGAGAACGGGAGGAAGCAACGCGACCGGAGCTTGATTTACGGCCAGTGGTAGAGAGGTGTGCGGCAGCAGCATCGAGATGAGCAAAGAAGCTGAACCGCGAGTCAGATGACACGGAAGATGAAACCGGAGTTTCATCTGGCGTTTCATCTGACGAGGAGGAGGAGCGAGAGAAGGAAGACCCTGAACTACTAGATCTGCCTTTCACCACGTGGTGTGTCTCTACTGCTGCACCTCTTGCACCTTCTCTGGCCTTAGCATTGCCCATTCTCACTCCCTCTCCTCCCTCTCTTCCCTCTGCTCCGCCCCTCCTTCCTTTCCCCACATTCCCTCCTTTCCCTACTCTTCCCTGCTTCCCTTCACTCCCTTGCTTGCCCCCTCTCCCCGCCTGCCCTCCTCTCCCTCGTGCTTGAGACGAGGAGGAGGATGAGGAGGAAGAGAGGGAGAGCGAGGGCAGCTCTATGTCCACGACAGACCCGTCGTCCACGTCAGCTTCTATGTCCACGTCACTATCCACGTCAGCGTCGTCCGAGAGGAACTGGGCCTTACGAGACGACAGCTGGCGGGTGGAATGGCTGACGAGAGCGAACATAGGGGAGGGGTTTTTGAAAGGGAGAGGAGGAGAGGGGGAGAGAGAGGGGGAATATAGGGAAGGCGGGAGTGGGTTTGAGATTCCGTGTTGGTCGAAAGAGTAGTAGGAAATGGGGTAACAGAGACTACGAGTCACAAATGAGAAGTTAATCCCACTCTACATGTCAGAAAAAAAGTTTGGATTCACATGAGATGAATCATCAACCCACCCACGTCACGTGTGATAAGTCACCAACTCACATGTGATAAGTCATCAACTCGCATGTCACATGTGATCCGTCAACTCACATGTCATGATTCTTAAGCTGAGCATCAGCTTCAGTCACATGCAAGTGGCAGTTACCCCCAGGGCACGACCTCGCACCGTTGATTATCAGCTCCAGTAGAATCACCGACAAAATCCCATTCACTAAAGTCACACCCCCCACCAGCAGCATGCACCGCCGGTACCGCCCTAATTTCCCACTAAATCCGCGCATCCAAGTCTCCGACCCCGCTCCGCCTCCGCCTCCCCCTCCCCGTCCCCCTCCCCAGGGCGCAAGCGGGCTACCAGATCTTGCCCGGGGGAAGGGGAAACTCCCCCTTCCCCCGCCGCCTGCGCTCTTGGTCGCATTCTGCTGCGCGTTCTTGCCCGCGCGGGATTTGGCAGGCGCTGAGTCGTCGAGTACGTAGCTAGTGGGCTCGGCGGGTTGTAGGAACCACAGACTGCCGCCGCGATTGACGGTGCTGCTGCTAGTAGTACTGCTGCTGCTGGCGCTGCTATCCTTATGGGTGCTGCTGCTTTCCATACTGGCGTGTGCGAGGTGTTACAATGTTGTTTCGAAAGGTAAGTTTTCGCCAGTCGTCATCCCCCCTACAGAAAGTGATAAATTACTGCGTGTAGTAAGTGCAGGACTATGGATTGCCGCGATGACGTAGGGTTCAAATAGGTGAACTCGACTGACCCTCTAAGAGTACGTCTTTAAGTAAGTGTCCAAGACTTTGCTGTACTACCGAATGTCGTGCTGACATGAATACTCGCTAAATCGCACTATGAACGGACGGCTTTCTGGGAAAGAACCTCACAACACGATGGTTTTAATCCTTGCACTCGTGGATGTTTGCCGTATTGTATCGCAACTCATGACATCAGCCGGGGATCGCCTAACTAGCGGCGACGGGGAACGCGTCTGATAAGTAACGACCTATGAGAATCTTAGTTGTGCTTCACCTGGTCCTATTGTGCGGTTCTGGAGGTTTCGTACATAGACGGCACGAGCCCATATGCCGGCAAGACCCCAGATCCTTCTTCTTGCCTAGTAACCTCCACGACGGAAATGGTTGCTCAATGTAAGTTCGAGGTCTCGTCAGCCATTGCTCCTACTGATTCCTGAATGCCTGATGATAGTGGTCTTGGTGATGGTTGTCGCTCGCTTTTCTCAAGGTTGGTGCGTTGGTGGTGCTGCCGTTTCTTGGGAATGCAGAGGTGGAGTTTGATGCTATTGGTCGGTGGCGGATTCGGGCAGGAACTTCGCAGCAGGAATTTCGTCTGGAAGAAGATGTTACAGCTATGAAACTTGATTATATGCAAAGTAGTACAATTTCCTGTTCCACATCAAGCTCTGACTTTGCCATTCCACTAAATCACCAGCACAAGTTCTGATTTACTATAATAATACCTTTCATTAATAAACAAGGTTCATAATCAGGCGTTTTGCGGAAGAAAAAATGCTTGTGGTTTTCTTGTGAGCGAAGTAACACGCATTTCGTTATACTATGAGTATGTATAACACTGGAGTGTCCAATAGTGCGCTCGCTGGTTGTCAAGTATTCGCCTCGTTGGCGCTGTCATTTCTCAGCACGTGGACTACTTCAAGATACTCGATCTGCTGGTGTGGCAGTCGAAACTTCGCCTTGTCCAATCGCACCGCCCTCCTCGATCCCCACGCCCAGTCAAATTCCATCAAGTTTCCCAAACCTTTGGTCGCTGACTCAGCTCCAGCACCATGAATGTCCCCACAACCTCACTAACTGCTTGCTGCTTCCAGATTCCAAATTTCAGGGGAGACCTGTGTATGTACGAATTTAGGATTCCAATCCAACGTAGTAGTACGAGGATCCTGGGCTAAATCTCCTGCCGTTCCCACTCGCTTCTCCTGCTTCTCGTACTGCAGTCGATTGTCGCAATGGCTTCGCTCGCCATGTCGTCTGTTGCCACGGTTCGTCTTCCTCTGCGTCCTTTGATTTCCGTTCCCTGCAATCGCGAATCTATTTGCCTCCTCGTCAAACTTCTTATCTCGTTTTCCTGTTCAGCGCAGACCTCACAGTCCCTCCTCATTCTCCTCACTCCCTTCTCCCCCCGTTCGTATCGACATTTGCCATCTAATTCGCCTCCTCTTTCCCCATTCGCCCGCTTCCCCCTCCCTTCCCCCCCCCCCTCTTCCCCCCCTTCATCAGGCTCCGCTTCTCTCTTTCGCGGAATCTTCTTCCTTCGTGCAGGGCAAGGCCCTTGCTGGTAAGCTCATAACGGGGATGGGGTGGGCTGCTCAAAATGTGAAGATGCGTGCGCGAGGATGATGAAGATTGTTAATCTGTTGCAAGAACACCAGTCAGAACGGATGGATGAGCTGGCTGATGGTTCACACACTGCGGAGTCATCTCTTCTCTGCTCGCACTCGAAATCTCTCCGGCGATCTTTATTTTTTTTTCAGTATCGAACGTTGTATGTCAATATGGGGTCTGCATGTCAATATTCCTCAATTCCCTTGTATGCCATTCTTATCCCATGCGTTTGTATCCGTCCCTTCCCGTGCCATCCCATGCCACACCATACCATCTGCACACAGGCACTGCCAAGACTGCAGCGGTGAAGTCCTTCCAGGTACCTCTTGAGAAAGAGCTCCGCAAGAATCATTTCCATTCAACTCCAATTCAACTACACTTCGAACAGCGAAAGTGGCCATACGATATATAGCTATCGATGAACCCCATAAGCTTCATTTGACGCGAAGGCGAAGCACGTTGCGTGAAAGTGGCCATACGCAGTTAAAGAAGCTACTCTCTTCTCCCGCCCTGTCACTTCACTCTCGCAACTCTCTCCTTCCGTACCGCTCTTCTTGTGTTCACTGGCTTGTTCCCCCCGTATCCCTCTGTACCCCTGTGTTCGCCGCAATACCCCGCTATACCCCTCTGCATCCCTCTCCGTCGTTCTACTTCTCGCAGCGTGCAGCAGTTCGCTGCCAGGCGTCATCCTCCGACGCGTCGTCCTCATCCGACTCCTCCTCCGCTCTCATCTTACCCCGTCGCCAAGCGATGCTCACTGCGCTCACCGCTGCCTCTGTGAGTACATGCTCGCTCATCTCACCGCCGCCCTGTCGTGTATGCTCTGGACTAGTTTCTAGGTGCCTCATTGGCTCATGTGCTCTCATCATCCCCCGTCGTCTCACCGTTCACCGCTCGCTCCCCTCCCTCATTCCCCCTCTCCACAGAGCCCGCTGTGGGTGCCTCTGCTGACGTCGTCCGACCCCGCGCTTGCAGCCAACATCGTGCAGCGCGGCCAGCGGGCAGCCTACCTGAGTGAGTGCAGCGAATTGATGCTGTGGGTCACACTGCGTGTGAGCTGCGTACCTGAGTGAGTGCTGTAGGCCGCACGGACTGACTTTGAGTCGACTCAATAGTCACTGCGCTTGCAGCCAACATCGTGCAGCGCGGCCAGCGGGCGGCGTACCTGAGTGAGTGCCGCGAATTGATGCTGTAGGCCGCGGGACGACTGATTCGCACAGACTGGTTCGCACTTGCTGTTGCTGTGAGCGTTGCTCCTACCATAGTGCGGCCAGCGAGCAGCCTACCTGAGTGAGTGCCGTGGGCCGCACGAGCTGGTTCGCACGGACTGTTTGTGTGAGAGTAGTTACAATCATTGCGCTTACACCTACCACAGCGTAACCACAAGCAGCCCACGCTCTCATAAGCTGCTGAGAGAGCGTGAAAACAGCAACACAGCAGCTCCTGTTCTCTGTGGGTGACACGTGCAACAGTTACTCCAAGCTGCACAGAAGAGCAGTTGTGAAAGCCATAAACTCCGGAATTCCATATGGGGAATGAGTGCATTACATTGGCCAGTTGCGGAGCTGTGATGGTTGGCTGTTCCATTACCAACCCCTTTTTTCCTTGTTCCCTTTCCTCCTTTTCCATCCACCCCTGTGACATGGAACGAATGTGACACTATCAGAGGGCCTCAAGGAGGATCTTTTCAACACCATCAGTGTAAGCCACTTTCTCCACCTCTTTTCCCATCGCCCTTAATTCTCTCTGCGATTTTTTGTTGTCGTCTCTCCTACGCACTTCTGATTCTCCCTTCGTCCTTTATGCTTCCGCTTCTTCCCCTTTGATCATGTTGCCCTGCGGTCACTGTAAGTCAAGTCATGTAGAATGAAAAAGCGAACCAATTCCATCACCGCTTCCTTTTACCTCTTTCTCGCTTCTCCCCTTCTCTCCCCGCCCCCCACCCCTCTTCCACGTGGCAGGCCAATAAGGAGCTTGTGCCTGACATCCTGCGATTGGCCCTCAATGATGCAGCCACGTATGACAAGGTCCGTGCCACGTGTAATGCTGCTCCTAATGCGTGCTTGTGCCTACTAATCCGTGCATGCATGAAGCGCATTGCCTCTTGGATGCATCATGCACTGATATAATGCATGCAGGCACGTCGTTTGCCTGTAACTAATGGCTCCTGACTCCTGATACGTTTCGTTGATTATCTTTTCTTCCTGTTTTTTCCCTTAAATGTCTCCATCCTCTCCTTTCACCCCCCCTCCCCGTGGTACTTTCCTTGATACTTCTGGGCCTGAATCGCAACAGGAGACCAGGACAGGAGGAGCAAACGGGTCCATCCGATTCAGGTACCATCATATGCCATTTCATGCCACACCGTGCCATGTCATGCCACGCCATTCCATGCCATGAGACATGCCATAGCGTGTCATGCCATGGCCTATCACTCTTGGTTAACAAGTACCAGACAAT